TGCAGGTTTCCCCAGTCTTATAAACAGTACATTTGCATAATGACTGAAAGCAGCCCACTGAAGAACAATTGGCTGGGAGGTCAGTTCCATAATCTTAATTATGCAAATTCTCATGACCATTGATCAACAACCACTGACCAAAACCCACTGATCAATGACCACTGATCAATGGCCATGAGTACCATTCACAGAGAGTTGGGGAATGGCTGCAATCACAGCATTGTAAGATGGCAAAAGATGTACCCTTAGGCCCACTCCTCGATTCAGAGATGGTCTTTCCCTTTTCATGTAAATTGCCTCCTTGACTCCGCGCTCAAACCAGCGTTCCTCTGAATTTTTTAGTGAAATTTATTTCACTAAAAGTACAACAGGAATATTTTACCTCCGTGGCTCGCTTTATGAACTTTGTACCAATTTATATCTTCATTGTGTTTCCTTAGTTTACAATATTGGTCTTATTGGTATCTTATCTTATTGGTATATATGTATGATTTCTATACATTGTACATCAGATGACCACTTTGGTTGTAAGATTCAGAATATTATGTGTTAAAAGATAGATATTTTAAATGAGAATAAGAAAGAAAATTATTTATTTGTGTCCCTCTTTCCCTGTTAATGCCCAGCCTGCCCCCCTGTCAAAATTTTGCTAGATCCTCCTCTGCACAGTTACCAGCTGTCAGCTACTTAGAAAAGGATCCTGGTGTTATTTGTCTCTCAGAAACAGTTCATAACTTCCCTTCAACTCATTCATGTCACCTAAAAGGTAAACCTGTTTCACCTGTTCAGCTCTGATGATTCAGTAAAAACATCTCCTGGTTTCATCTTCATGTTTCCCTCTCACCAGATATCCAAACCGATATCATGACCAGCAGCTTTTACCGATGTGGCTCCAGCAAACATCAGCTGATACTAGAAAGTAATGTTAAATAAATTCTATCAACAGCGTATCAAGCTTAAACGTGCTGCTGTTGTTTAGCGCGACATCCGCTGATTTCCTCGTTCTGGCGCAAAATGGGCAATAAACAAACAAGAGAGACGAGACTAGTGGCGACAGAAAAGCCGATCAGCTGATCACTGATCAGTTTCGTGATTGAAGTAGCAACAGGAGAGGGAGGGGGAGAGGATGAGAGAAGAAGAGGCAGCGGCGTGAAGAGAAAGAATAACTCCAGCTTTGTGTCTTTTTTTCATTCTAGCTGAAGAAAGGGGCAAATAGCGTTCCTTTTCACCTCAATACCAGGTGGTCGGTTGCATCTGACCACCTCGGATAAAACACATTATTGTCATGGAGTGGTCTAGCTAGTCTACAGACCTCAGTCCTACAGAAAGCAGCCAGCAGCATCCAAGAAACCTGAAGGGTTTAGTGAGTTTCTGCAAAGACGAGTGGGTCAAAATCCCCCGAGATGTGTGTAAACCTGGTGACCATCTATAAGAAACATGTTCCTGCTGTGCTTGTCAACAAAGGTTTCTCAACAAAGAACTAAGTCATGTTTCGCTTGTGGATCAAATACTCATAAACAACAAGGGCCACTGACTTTTTTTTTTTTTTTTTAGCAATCACAATACAAAGAACAGTCAAATTGACAGTTGCACCACGACCATAGCACAGGGAACAAAAGCTCACTGTGCCGTCTCAAGTGAAACGTTAGCCTCGCATTAGGTAATTTCTCCTCGAGGAGAATGGTTATAATTTCACCAGACACAATAACCCCTTCCTCCAACAGTACGAGCAAAGACGCTTTGCTGTGCCATTAGGCTGCGATAATGAAATAAACACTAGTGTGAAAAATGATTTCCATCACTTCTGTCCCCATAGAGTCTGATATGTGTACAACAACAAACACATCCGAGCAGCTTGACGTCCAATTAGGCTCAGTTCTCATAAGACAGACACTCTGTCAGCACTCTCAAGACATTTTGTACATTCAACCCCTGCTTGACACTGATTCTGACGACCGTCTTTCATACATCGCCAAATGAATACGGATAACATCAAAACAGGATGTCAAAACTTACTGTTGGCCTTGTTTTTATGGGCACATTCAGTGAGGCCTCTGAAAGTTATAGGCCTTGGTATCCTGGATGAGTCATCATCATACTAGCTTTTTCTGCCTAGGTGTTTACTTAAAATAGATCCAGGTCTTCTGCAAAGTGACAAAAATCCACCACTAAGCAGACGTTTGCCTGTAAAACAATGCTGTAAGTACATATTTGTCTCTCTATAGTCCAGTTGCAGCCACTTGGGTCAGTGTTATTACATAAAAAATACCTAAGGATTGAAATCACACCAAAAACAGACAGAACCAGTCTCTGTTAAAGCCGCATTAGAAAATCGTGACAAGGAATGTGGCCACCTTTCAGTAAGTATTGGCTTAACCAGCAGGAAGTACAGGAAAACCAGTCAATGTTTAACCATTTTGTACTATCCTTATTTACAATTCAGATATTTATTTAAACAAATATTTATTTGTTTTTTTAAAGTGAATATGTATTTGATTTTGATTAGATATCATCAATTACTATATAAACTAATAAATATTAGTCTGATTTTAATGCAGCTATACATTTTTGTAGTTTTCAGTATTAGTGCACTCACTGGGCACCTTATCAGGTAAATCTGCTCAACTGATTGTTGATCCAAATATCTAATCTGCTAATCACATGGCAGCAACTCAGTGTACACGTGATCAAGACAACATGCTGAAGTACAAATTGAGTATCAGACTGGGGCAGAAATGTGATTTAGGTGTTGAGATCAGCCGAGCTGGTCTGAGTATTTCAGTATCTGCTGGTCTGCTGGGATTTTCCCACACAGCCATCTCCAGGGTCTTCTTCTGGTCTGGAAAAGAAGCAAAAAAAAATCCAGTGAGTAGCAGTTTTCTGCACAAAAATGCCTTGTTCACGTCACAGGTCAGAGGACAATGGCCAGACTGCTATAAGCTGAGTGGAAGGCAAAAAATTGAGATGAACACTTATTACAACCAAAATGTGCAGAAGAGCATCTCTGAATGCACGACACAGCAGCAGAAGACCACAA